GGGTAGACTCAGTTTCCATCTGGCTCTAGGGGACCTGTGGAAACAGAGCTGGTCTGGGACACTGTGGTTGAGATTGGGTCACGTTTAGGTTGGATTAGCAGCTCTAGTAGAGCCACTTCAGTGAACCCATCATCTTGACATTAAAGCCATCTCACACCATAGAGTGTCTAGAGTGGTGAGGTCCAAGGCTGGCCTCGGGAACACTGGGAGTGGGGGAGTCTCAGGGGATGTGTTCCGGGTGTCCTGAGCCCCACCAGGAGTTGGGGGGGGTGGCATTGTGAAATCTGTATTTGGTCTTCCTCCCTCTTTTCCTGAGGTATTCTTAGAATCTCTGGAGTGATAGGAGTGTCTTTGTATGCTAGTGACATGACTGGTGGCTGGGGGCTCTTAGATTGCTCTAGGATTGGCTGGTTGCCAGGGTAACCAATCCCATGATTAGAGGGCTGGAATTTACAGTCTTCCACCCTCCCACCTCTGGGGAGGGGAGAGAGGCTGCAGGTTGAGCCGGTAGATCAATGGCCAGTGATTTAGTCAATTATGTCTATAATGAAGCTTTCATTAAAGACCCCAAAGGAGGCCAGGTGTTAGGGCTCACACCTGTAATCCCACCACTTTGGGAGGTCAAGGTGGGATAATTGCTTGAGGTCAGGAGTTTGAGACCAGCCTGGACAACATAGACCCCATCTGTAATTTTAAAAAATTAATTATTATCCAGATGTGGTGGCACGCACGTGTAGTCCCAGCTGCTCAGGAGGCTGAGATGGGTGGATGGCTTGAGCCCAGGAGTTCGAGGCTACAGTAAGCCTTACATCATTGCACTCCAGCCTAGGAGACAGAGCAAGACCCTGTCTCTAAAAGCTGAAGGGGGAAAAAAAGTCCAAAACCCCAAACCTCCAAAGGACTGAGTTCTGGGAGCTTTTGGATAGCTGAGCATGCAGAGGTTCCTGGGGAGTGGCACACAGGGCAGGCAGGGCAGCTCCACGCCCTTCCCACATGCCTTGCCCTATGCACCTCTTCCGGCTGGAGGTTCGTCCGCATCCTTTGCAGTATCCTTCCTGTCTGTCTGCAGGAAGGTGATATTTGTCTCTCTGAGGTTATTATTAATAGTAACTTTCAGTGCCAGTGAATGGTGTGACACCTCACTGGTCTATGATTTTAGCTGTCCTGGATTTGGGGTTTCTGAGAGTAAGTCTTTCCTCTTTCTGCCCCTGTAAAGGAGCCTCTTTTTTAGGGACTCCTGACTCATGGTCAGCTTCATGCCAGCCTTTCATTTTACTTTCTCTCGTGCTGCCTGTGTTTGGAGAGTAGAGGCACAGTGAAGCTTCTCAGCCCATTTGCTGCCGCGGTGACAGCAGTAGGCTGTGGTGGGTAGGACGGGGTGGGGTAGGACAGGGTCCGGTGGGTAGGGCAGGGAGAGGGACCCCCATTGCACCTGGACTTTTTCTTTGGGTTGATAACGATAGTTCATCCTTCATCTCCATGCGACTTTGAAAAAAATCACTCTGTCTGAGCTCCGTGACCTCATCTGTGCAACTCCTTTTAAAAATTATTCTTAGAAGAACCCCAATGAATAAGCAAAAGTGGAGCTCTGACGTGTTAATCCTCGCCCCTCAACTCCAGCTCAGGGGAGCCTGAGAGGTTCCTGGGGCGGAGGGGCCTGCAGTCCTCCCTCTAGGCCTCTGGCGAACCTTTCCCAGGGCTGCTGCTGAAGGCCTTCACGTCAGACACCACGTCACTGGTCCTGTGTGAATCCTAACACCCCTCCCGTCCTGCCAGTGCCCTCTCCACCACCCCTTTCCCTGCCCCCCGTGGCTGGAACGGACATCATGGGAAGTGGAATAGAACCTCAGGGTTTGCTGTCCACTTGATGCCCCGCTGCCGCTTGTTGGAGGGGTCACGTGACTGCACAGCATGAGAAATGGGAGCTGCTCACTTCTTGGGTTATTGCTTTTTTTTTTCTTGACACCAAGAAAAAATTCCAACCCCGTAGGCAGCTCCCACACAGTCTGTCTCCTCTTCTACTTAAGTGCAGTTTTTCCTCTTCATGAGCTCTGGTCTTCAAATGGAGCTGGGAGGCAAAACAAGGACCTTGGGAATAGAAGAATCCTTGGTGAATTACCTTATATTAATGAGACCAAGAAGAGAAATCACGTTCAGCTGAGCAAATTAGCTTTGCGTTCTGGGCCTTGATGACTTAAATTGCAGATTCTAATTAAATGTCCCCAAATAATTAC